GAGGGCGCGGATGGAGACGGAACACCCATTCAAAGACTCATTGAAATCTCCTAGGACAGCAGAGGTCAGGGCGGCCTCACTTATTATCTAGTCCAGCAGTCTAATCCAGCAAAACTTCACAGTTTAAAGGGGAATACGTTTAATTTTAGCAAGAGTTTTACGGCACTTGCAACTCAAAACGCCGAAGATCACAGTTGTTACAAGAGAGTAAAAAGCATAACAAGGAAGAAGGAGAGATACGGACGATAACTGTTTGGTAATAAAGAAAGGCAGACCACACCAGAGCACTCGAAAAAATATGTTTGACACCCCCCCCCTCAGACACCTCCACCCCCCCCCCAACAAAAACAAAAACAAAAACATCAACAAAACAACAAACCCAACCAAAAACCAATCTAAACCAAACCAAAACAAGCAAAGAAACAAACAAAAGAAAAACACTAACAAACAAACAAACAAAAAAGTGGATACACAGGAAATTTCCATGCTAAATCCTGGTAACAAAAAAACAACAACAACATAATAATGTGGCAATTATACCCTCCCACAACCCCCCCCCCAAAAAAACCAAAAAAACAAAAAACAAAACCAACAAACAACACAAACAAAAACAAAAACAAAACAAACAAAAAAATCTAAAACTTTAAACTTCATGGGTCAATTGAAACAAAAAATTATTTTGAATTTTAAGGTAATCTCATTAGAAATATAAATATATCATTATTTATGTAGAAGTACTATGAATATTTTTGCCGGTACGGAATTATCAACATTGTTTAGAAAACTTGGAAAGCGAAGAAAGTATTTCAGTGAAAATTGGAAAGCTACACCTACGAAGAATTCTAATTAAAGCCTGGAATGAATTCATCTAAAGTAATGAAGTGTTGGAACGAGCTGGGATTGCAGATATCAGCACGACAATAACAGAGACAAGGTTTACCTAGAACACACTTTGTTTACATTAGTATAGTATGTGTTCTACTGAATTGAATGACGGAAACTAAAACGGAGAGAGAGAGAGAGAGA